CAAAAAAAAAAAAAAAAAAAAAAAAGGAGTCGAGCCACGATTAAGGGGAGGCGTACTTTGTTCGAGAGGAGATCATTGTAAACCTGAAATTAACGCACTTTCAACTTTTCGAACTCGTCAAGACAAACCGGCATAAAAATCAACTTGCGATCATTCTCCAATGAAATGACTTTAAAAACAACTAGTTTTAGGAAGGCTTATTATGTTTATTAGACGTCTAGTGAGATATTATTTAAATGTAGAGAGACTAGATAACAGGGACTTCGAGCCCATGTAAGATTAAGGAAATTGAGACTTTCGGTAAAACTATTTAGCGCTCGTGAAGCTACACAAACACAAATGCAGGAGGTAAGTTAAAAATTTTGAATTTCAATTCTTGGATGAATGGTTGGTTATAGCTTGTTAACTTTTTTATCCATGATTACTTCAAGTTGCACCAGTGGTCTAGTGGTAGAATAGTACCCTGCCACGGTACAGACCCGGGTTCGATTCCCGGCTGGTGCATTTCTTTTTAATGTTTTGTCTATATTTCAATCAAATATTAAATGCGTCAAAAAATATGAGAACGACAATAAATTACCATTCCCAAGAATTTTAATCTTTCGTAAAATAAATTATTTATTAATTTATTCCTACAAACTTTAAAAAATCTTAAAAAGGAAATGCTGATTTATTAATTTATTCCTACAAACTTTAAAAAATCTTAAAAAGGAAATGCACCAGCCGGGAATCGAACCCGGGTCTGTACCGTGGCAGGGTACTATTCTACCACTAGACCACTGGTGCTCTTGTTATTATATTGCCCTTTTTTTTAAAATTTCATCACTCTACGAACCGTCTTTCTTGGCAGGTTGTTAACATCATCCTTAGCAAGTACACCAACGATGTTAAGACCCAAAACTATACTTACTTTCATACAAAGGTTGAGTATTTAAAATCAAAATATATCTAATGGAATGCTTTCATAATTTATTTTGTTTATTATTGATGCGTCTGCTAGTTTGATAACATGTTTTCGTCAAAGATCTAGTGTTCTAAATAGTATTGTAGTCGTAGTAGAAACAGACGTAAGAATCCATCGCACTCACACGCCTACAAACATAAATAAATAAAAAGTCACTTTTAGAGTAAGCAACCACTAAAAAAGTGTTGGTATCTAGTTGTCATTAGTTTTATGATAATGTTGATATTGTTACCATTTTCGCTTGTTGGTATTGACCAACAATTTGTCTATGGATAATTATAGCTTAGTTTGTGTTTCTTTGTAAATTTTCAGTATATTTTATAAAAGATAGTATCCAATAATTATGAATGGTGGATAAATCATTTTTTTAAAAAAATTAAAATTTTTTAACAACCCAACCCCAGAGTGAGTTAGATTCAATTGAGTTATAAAAAATTTTAGGCTAGATTGGGTTAGGAATTCAATGAGCCCAAATATTTAGATATTTGGTTGTTTCATAAAAATCACTCAACCCAACCTAACTCGAACTAGGTACATCCTTCAGCTTAAAATGGAATTATTATTATTATTATTATTATTATATTTTTTTTTTATTATTATTATTAGAATTATTATTAGAATTATTATTAGAATTATTATTATCATTATTATTATTATTATTATTATCATTATTATTATTATTATTATTATTATTATCGACCAAAACGAAATAAAAATATCTTCCTAGGATTCGCATTGGATCTGTCCTTCCCTCTTATCCAAATCCCGCCGCCGATCCCAATGTCGATTCCTCCCCTCAAAATCATCGCCGGCGCCGACTCTTTTGGCTGCTCCCTCAAAGACACACTCCTCTCCCACCTCCGCTCCCTCAACATCCCCGTCGAAGACCTCGGCGTTTCCTCCTATTACTCCATCGCTGCCGAGGTTGGCCGCCGCGTCTCCGCCGCCGCCACCACACCCAACTCTCAATCCCCCGAAATCCGCGGCCTCCTCGCCTGCGGCACCGGTGTCGGCGTCTCCATCTTCGCCAACAAATTCCCCGCCGTCACCGCCGCCACCTGCCTTACCAAAGACGACGCCCTCAACTCCCGCTCAATCAACAACTCCAACGTCCTCTCCCTCTCCGGCATCGCCACTTCCCCTGACTCCGCCGTCGAAATCCTCAACACCTGGCTCCAAACCCCCTTCAAAGCCCCTTGCCCTGCCTCTCAATTCAACCCCTGGCCGACCGAAATTCAGTCCTTTTTGGAGAATTCCCTCACCGAGATTCCCAAAATTGGGGCCGTTGGGGCCGTTACAGACACTTGCTCCATCTGCTGCCCAGTGAAGAATAGAGAGCTGAACCCGGTTGAGATGATCCCGGGCGCTTCGATGAAGATTCTGAGGGAGACGCCGACGTCGGCCGTGGTTCGGTTCGAGGCGGGAAGCGTGGAGCCGGCGCACCACCACACATTTGGGCATGATCTGGTGGTGATGAAAGGGAAGAAGAGCGTTTGGAATTTGAGTAAAAAGGAGAGATTTGATTTGGGTGTTGGGGATTATCTGTTTACTCCAGCTGGAGATGTTCATAGGGTTAAATACTACGAGGATACAGAGTTTTTCATCAAGTGGGATGGACATTGGGATATGTTCTTTGATGAGGATCTTGAGGCTGCTAAGAACGCCATTGATGAGGAGCTGGAGAAGGTCTCCTCTGTGTGAGTGATGTTTGTTCGTCTTTGTAAGATTAAAATGTGTGCCTTTTTGAGTTTGAATTTGGTAACTTGTTCTTGTTTATGGAAGATGGTTTAGTTTGGCTTGAGATCATTTGTATATGTTCCAATGTAATCTTAAAATAAAATATGTATTTTGGTAACCTTGTTTTACATCATCCTTGGAAACTTGCTAAACTAACTTGGGACCTTACTGGATAATGTTTGAAATCGTTCGAACTCATAGATCCAATGTCAATCGAGTTGGGTACTCGTATTTGGAGTTAATCTAGACATGGGTGTTGTGGTTCGAGCATAGATATGTGGTTGGAGCTTACATTGTCACTAGAAAAGAGTGTTAGAGAGGAATGGTAACATCGCCTTTGAAGGCGCGTTGCTATTGTCACACTTGTTGTCATTGAAAGCTCATTGTGTTAGATGGTGCATTGTCCTCTTCGGTCGAATCATGATACTCATCTATCTTGACCATCGTGTGACCAAATGGGCTCCACTTGAGGATTGCTCCTTGATGTAAGGGCTACTCTTTTCCTAATATAGATATCTCATATCATATAAAAAATCCATAAACGATAGTAACGGTGAGTAACTTGTACTTTACTTCTACATTAGGCCTAGTAAAACTCGGTTTCTTTTTTAAAATCCAAGTCAGTAAGTTTTTTCACAAAAATTACTTGGAAACCACCTAATTAGCATCGAGGAACGAAGAGAATACGAGAGACAAGATCAGCCATGTCATTTAAAGAGATGAGAGAAAGAGAGGGAGAGTGGTATGAGTGGCGTTACAAGGGAATCAGCTGACCTAGCCTTATAATTTTACTATGGTGGTGATATTACATTATACACGTTTGTTTAGTGGCTAAGAATGAATTTAGATGAGACTAAACTAGACTTAGTTCATCACTTAATTTGGCAGTTTCAGAATCAAAGGCATCAATCTTCTCTCTTAGCATCATCAATTCCTCACCAGCTTCACATATATATGAAGAAGCTTGCCTCCCTGACAGAGTTGCTCCTTCCATGCTATCTATGTAATCCTACACATACATATACACAACAAAGTATGGTTTTCCTTCACATAACTTGGCTTGATGGAGTTCGAACTTGATGAACAAATGTAGAAAGACATACCTGTTTTGTGTATGATCCGGCGAGGAAGAAGTTTTTAATGGGTGTCTTCTGATCCGGTCGAAACGGATCTTTGCCGGGTGCCTCTCTGTATAGAGACTGTCCGATCTTCACAACCGATGACCATGTAACTTCTAGACCTTGTGCGGATGGGAATAAAGCCAAGACCTTATGTAAAACGAGCGAATCATGTATGAAGTTAAGTCGATATCTATAGCAAGTGTAGACTAGGAGAAAGTACGAAAAATATATATATATATATGTGGCGTTTTTGTAACAGCTCAATCCCGCCACTAGCAGATATTGTCCTCTTTGGATTTTTCCTTTCGAGCTTCCTCTCAATGTTTTAGAACGCGTCTACTATGGAATGGGTCTAGCCCAACTTCGACCAGTGCCTCACACCGTCCGGTGACTGGCTCTGATACCATTTGTAACAGCCCAAGCCCAACCCCACGACTGGCAGATATTGTCCTCTTTGAGGAAACCTCTTCTGGATGACTCTGATACCATTTGTAACAGCTCAAGCTCACCACTAGCAAATATTGGCCTCTTTAGACTTTCTTTTTTGGACTTCCCCTCATGGTTTTTAAAACGTGCCTATTATGAAGAGGGTCTAGCCCCTACTTCGACTAGTACCTCATACTGTCCGGTGACTAGCTCTGATACCATTTGTAACAACCCAAGCATACCGTTAGCAAATATTGTTATTTTTCGGTTTCCTTTCCGAGCTTCCCCTCAAGGTTTTAAAACACGTCTACTATGGAGAGGGTCTAGCCTACTCCGACCAGTGCCTCATACTGTCCAGTGACTGGCTCTAATACTATTTGTAACAGCCCAACCCCACCGCTAGCAAATATTGTCCTCTTTAGGTTTTCCCTTATGGACTTCCCCTCAAGGTTTTAAAACGCGTTTACTATAGAGAGGGTCTAGCCCTACTCCAACAAGTGCCTCACACCGTCCAGTGACTAGCTCTGATACCATTTGTAACAGTTTAAGCCCGCCGCTAACAAAACGCGTCTGCTGGGAGAGATTTCCACACCTTTACAAAGAATGTTTCATTCCCCTCTCCAACTGATGTGGGATCTTACAGAGAGTACATGAAATTCAACACGCTATTAAAAATAACTTTGGCTACATATGAGAGTTCTTTTGGTTATACTCCCCACTCAAATGCATCATGTTTTTGAAGTAATTTAATAGTGCCTTAGGAAAAAGCCAAAAGCACATGCAATACTCTGTGAGAAAACAATTGAAAACAGGCAAAAGTACTTCCAAAGCACTTCCATAGAAGAGTCTAAATAAAAACCACACCTGTTTTGTCACTCTTGCTATAATCTCATCATTTAGCAATGGCATGTAAGGATCCCCAGGCGTCAGGACACATCTGAAAATGGAAGTGACTTTGAAATCAGAGTATTTCATCATTTTAGTAAACATTCATGTTTCTCGTTTTCAATTATCAGAAACGTGTGCATTCGGCAAATTGTTCGTGTTTCTTGTTTCTCGATTTTAGGAACATCCCCAAAATTGTCTATAAACAAAGGATTAAGTTATTAAAAAGTATAATGTTAAGAGTAAAAGATCTCTTACTGAAGCAATGATCCCTGTCCCTCAATGTAGTAATCCTCTGGAGAGGTTAGCGCTAAATCTGCAAAGCATGAGAAATCTGCATCTGGAGTGTAAAGGAGATTATCCAACCCCACAGCTTGCCTGGACTGCCTACACTCCAAAGTGAAGAAAATCCATGAAAATATAGAACGATAACAACCTTCGAGCCATTTCACAATGATTTTGTAAATAAGAATGTGGAACAGTCCAAGCCCACTGCTAGTAGATTGCTTTCCCTGAACGTTTTAAAACGCATCTACTAGGGAGAGGTTTCCACATCCTTATAAGGAATGCTTCGTTCCCCTCTCCAACCAAAATCGAATCTTACAATCCACCCCCTCGAGGGCCTAGTGCCCTCACTGGCACACTGCCTGGTGTCTGGCTCTAATACCATTTGTAACACCCCAAGCTCATTGCTAGCAGATATTGTCATTTTTTGGCTTTTCCTTTCGGGCTTCCCCTCAAGATTTTAAAATGCGTCTACTAGGGAGAGATTTCCACACTCTTATAAGGAATGCTTCGTTCCCCTCTCCAACCGATATCGGATCTTACAATCCACCCCTTTGAGGGCCCAGTGTCCTCGCTGATGCATTGCCTGGTGTCTGGCGACACATTGCCTGGTGTCTGGCTTTGATACCATTTATAACAGCCCAAGCCCACCGTTAGTAGATATTGTCATTTTTTGGCTTTCCCTTCTGGGCTTCTCCTCAAAATTTTAAAACGCATCTACTAGGGAGGGGTTTCCACACTCTTATAAGGAAGGCTTTGTTCCCATCTTCAACCGATATTGGATCTTACGGAATGATTTTCTAAAAATAGAAAACAAAGACAACAATATTGTCAAATAGCTTATTGAGAACCACCTCGAACGTTCTAGATCTTGCATCTCTGTAACCCATCCGTTGTACCTAAGTTGGACGGTGACAACAGGAACTCCGATCAGCTCGTAAATATTATCAAAGAACTCCCATTCCCTCCATTGAGATGGGATCAATCTTTTGATTCCAGGGACATCACATGCTGTCATCAAATGGTATAGTTTATTTTCAAAATTAAAAATAAGAAAAGAGGAAAGAAATATGGTAAAGCACAAACCTGCAACATAAGCATCAGCTTTCACAATTTTCTTATTCGTGGCCTGAGACAAAACAGAGTTCATTAAGCATTAATTATCAGTCCCATTACTTCTGCCTATATTTTGGTCTAAAAAGCGACATATCCGACCAAAATAATGATCGAGATGAACACTATAAGTTCTCCAAAGTATGTGACAATGATCGAGATGAATACTATATTCCGAGTTCCGCCCTGTTCGGGATAACACATAGAAAAGATGCAAATGGAAGCATTTGATTTCACCTTAGACATTGCCAGTCCTGATATATAAGTTTCTCCATCTGCAAATTTGTCATAAAGTACCTCCCTACATCCCCACCTTAGATGGAATCTGTTCGAGCAGGGAAACGATGTCCAAATGAATCGGAACAAGAAAACCAGCCACAAGTACTGAATTAGAACATAACTGAAGTCATATATACCTGCCCCCTCTGTCCGTGATATACTTTCGTATGGGACCACTTAAGAAAACGTCTGGAGAACCTTTTAGCATGCGTAATAGAGAAGCCTCAGTTTTAGTAGCGAACAACGAGAAAATAGTGAGCATACAACGGGCACTGATGTTGTCACAATCGATAAAGCCGAGAGCATAAGCAACTGGATCCCACATTCTCTGGATACTCGCACGTGTGCCACCTTTAGACATGAACCACTCGGAAAAGCTTATCTGTATGATTGAAACAGCGAGCATTTAGAATCATAGAGCTTTAACGAAGTTTTAGTTTATATCATCACTAACCACGAGTATCGAATATAGATATCAATCAGGCCAATATAGTCATGAAAGACGATAGGAAAACAACGTTTCCCCCTAAAACACGAACATGGTACTTTTTTATATATATAGCAGGAAAGAAGAGAGCATTCTCACACTATCCAAATTTCGAATATCCTTCATTGCAGCATCTGGATCAACAAGAGCCTTGACGACTGGACTTAAGGCAAGCGCCACAGCATTTCTTGCTTTATCGTACGTCTGAATAATATGATTCGGAAAAAATGTCAGATAAATATCCGTGATGCTAGAATAATGAGATCATCATTTTTTTATTGAAGAAATTATAAATAACAGAAAGATAATTAGACTTTGTCCATTCTCATCACTTTCGTATCGACTCCTAGTTAAACAAGAGCGGAAAAAAAGGTCGAAACAACATCGAAGCATACGTAGTATTAAAAAGATCGTACTCATAATAATAAATAAAAAAACATTAAAATGATGTTTAAGGTTAGTGGCTACGGATGTCATTACCTTAAGCTGATTCGTGGCCAAGAAAGCTCGAATTCCATGTATGGGAGCTCCAACAGGAAAGCGGAAATCAAGTTCTGAGGATGTAGAAGTTTATTAGATTTTCATATCATATTCCCAAGAAAGCAAAAACCATTCATGAAATGAAGAAAATTTTGTTGAGAATAAGACTTGAACTCTACCTCCAATTTCGCCTCCCTTGTTTACAAAAGTATGAGTATGATCCTTCACAAGTAGGTTCTTCTCTGCGCCAACCTAATCTCGAACATATTATTAGATAAGATGTACAACTAACGGTAAGAAAAGCACATCTCATATCATTGGCAACAAGTTGGAGAATATGTGGTGTAACAGCCCAAGCCCAAGCCCAAGCCTACCGCTAGCAGATATTGTCCTCTTTAGGCTTCCCTCAAGGTTTTAAAACACGTATGCTAGAGAGAGGTTTTCACACCCTTATAAGGAATGCTTCGTTCCCCTCTTCAACTGATGTGGGATCTCACAATCCACCCCCCTATGGGGCTCAGCATCCTCGCACCCGATGACTAGCTCTGATACCATTTGTAATAGCCCAAGCCCACCACTAGCAGATATCGTTCTCTTTGGGCTTCCCCTTAATGTTTTAAAACCTGTCTGCTAGGGAGAGGTTTCCACACCCTTATAAGGAATGCTTCGTTCCCTTCTCCAACCGATGTGGGATCTCACAATCCACCCCCCTATGGAGCTCAACATCCTCGCGCCCGATGACTAGCTCCGATACCATTTGTACCAGCCCAAGCCCACCGTTAGCAGATATCGTCCTCTTTGGGCTTCCCCTAAAACGCATCTGCTAGAGAGAGGTTTCCACACCCTTATAAGAAATGCTTCGTTTCCCTCTTCAACGATATGGAATCTCACATGTTGCCATATATATTCTAGAAACAGCCATTGGTACTAAATCAGCATTCTTAATTTCAAGTTCTACATCGAAAAGAACATTTAAAACAACTCGACCATTTATTCTTGACTATCATCCATCACGAGTCACAAAGAACATTTAAAGATAAATACTATACCCAAGCTTGACATACACAATAGTTTCTAGTAAACGCCAACGTTTAAGAGAGAAAACGAATCATAAATATTCAAATGTCATACTGTTAATCAATAAAGCAAACTGTCTTCACCTTTTTCATTAAACGAAAAAGATTGTTGTAACATCCAAAGAATACATGTAGCCCCATTTCAATATGGTTTCCACGTTTATCCACAAACGAACCGACCTTCCCACCGATGAAGGTTCTCGATTCATATATATCAACCTGGAATCACAAAAGACGCACTTGATACTGATATTGTTGAACTGCATAATCATTTTGAACATGCTTAAATTAACAGGTAAACATCTATGCCCAAATGGGTGCGTTTGGGATGACTTTTAGAAGGATAAGCCTAAAAATACTCTTCAAAATTCTCAAACTATGTAAAGATACCAGAAAGTAACACTTAAAAGTGCCATGATTCTTCCAAAAGTACTTATAGAAGAAGTGTTCTTATTTCAAAGCATTTTTTTTGCCAAAACTCATCCTAAACTCACCCTTGCTATGAAGCAATAGCTACTATTATTAATACAAGGTGTTGAAGCAGACAGTGAAGGGGAAGATGATAAACTGAACCTCATGGCCTTGATCCAAAAGCTCAACAGCCGTCGACATCCCTGCAAGCCCAGCTCCAATAATAGCAACTTTCAATTTGGGTCCTCGATAGCGTTCAGGTTCAGGGGGAAACAACCCTTTGGGAGCTGTGAATTCAAGATGAGCCATCAAGATTTTATAACATAGACAACCCTAATCCCAACTTCACAAAATTTTCAGATTCCAAAACAGAGGTATTGCAATTCACCATTTGGTAGCACATAAATCAAACATGGAAAAGCACAATTCACAGTACAGGAAAACCCAATTACCATTAACACTCATATCTGAAACATCTGTATCCAAGGAGGATCGAACCAAGAATCTTCGACCCACCACGGAATTACGAGCAGGAAGTCCAAAACCGCGGTTGTTGCTATGCTTTCTTGTGAAGAAAACAGAAGGAAAAAGAACCCCAGAAGCCATAATTGTAAAAGGAAGAACAAAAGGGGCGAAAACAGAGCTTCCGGAAGCTGAACTCAGCTCTTGTATGAAATGGGAACCAGTTTGGAAGGATTAATGGGATTAATGGGTGAATTGGGTATGAGAAATTGGTAGAAGAAGGGTATCAGAGAGAGGGAAGATGCGTAGGGAATGAATTTTGTCTTGTAACTGAGGACAGGCAAAGGCAAACAGAGTTAGCTGGTAACGCCAAAAATGGCGATGGGTTTTGGAAATTATGCAATAAAAAAAACAGAGAACGTAAGAAAGAGAAAGAGACACGGAGGAAGGGAAGTGCTTCTGGTAACGATAATGCGCCACCAAGCAGGAGGAACTGGCGGAGATGAGCCACGAAATCCAGTCTTGCTTAAAATTCTACTCTTTTATACTAAACATTTTTTTCCTTTAATAATTCACCTACCTAACCTTAATTTATTAACTTAACCATTTCTTTAGTCCCCATCTTCACATGTCTATTTCACCGTACCTCTTTTTAAGACAGTGTCCAGATCGTTACACCTTTTGTGCGAGTCGGAACTTACCCAACAAGGAATTTCGCTACTTTAGAACTGTTATAGTTACGGCTGTTATCCATCGAGGTTTCGGTCGCCGGCTCCCCTGTCATCAGGTCACCAACTTCCTTGACCTTCTAACACTGGGCAAGCGTCAGCTCCCATACATGGCCTTACGACTTTGCAGAATTTTAAAATTCACGAGCTATGAAGACTCACATTGAACCACTTATGGATTTTAAAAATAAAAAGATTAGTACAAAAATCACTAAGAATCTTAGACTAGTTTTTCTAATCTATTAAACTTTGAGAACAGAGGACAATTTTTTTTTCTAACAGCTTAAAGCTTGAAAGAAGGAAGCTGTTGTCGATTGTTAAAGATTATTGAGAGTGAGTCCCACGTGTTAATTTAGTAGAAGATCATGAATTTATAAGTGAGGAATAATATCTCCAGAAGATCATGAATTTATAAGGGAGGAATAATATCTCCATTGTTACGAGGCATTTTGAGAATATACCAAGCTATTTTATTATTTTTATTTAATGTTACAATAGGTAAATTATAATTTAAATACTAAAAATTATTAAACTAAATTAAGCAAAATTTTGCAATTCAAAATAAAAATATTGATAAATATTTAATAAGCCCAATAAGTTTGTTTTTTTTTGTGCTAAAATAATTTATGGTATTTAATTTATATTTTTTTAAGAATAAATTTAGTTGAAAAGATAATGAAATGAAATTTTGTGAGAAAGTATATTATAATTATTAGGAGAATTAAATTGATTTGGATTGAATTAATTAAAGTGGTTGGAGATCTAATTTGGGTAAATTAAACTGAAATTAGTAAAATTAAGATAAATTTGATTGAGTTAACTGAAATAATAAAAAGTTCATTAATTTTGGATTTTAATTTAGTTGGATGACTGTTTATTTATAGAAAAAAAGTGTGATGTATACACAAAGACCGAGTCGTGTTGAGTTAGTTTGTTGAGTTGGTTTAATTGACAGAGCCAACGCCGGCAGCCGCTCATCGCCGAGAGGGAACCCCATAATGTTCTTCCACATTGTGTTGGAGAGGAACACGCAGCTGCATCCACGGCACTTCGGGCGTGGCCTCCGCGACAGCCTCGTAACCAAGCTCATGAAAGAGGTGGAGGGCACTTGCAGGTTTCTTCTTCTAACTCTTTGTTTGTTTTTGTTCAATTCTACGTAGAATTTGGTGGTTTCATGTTTAGATTTGGCGCAGCGGACGGCATGGTTTTGTAGTGGCGATTACGGGCATCGAGAAAGTGGGAAAAGGGTTGATTCGTGATGGCACGGGGTTTGTGACCTTTCCTGTTAAGTATCAATGTGTTGTGTTTCGGCCTTTCAAGGGCGAAATCTTGGAAGCTTTTGTTTCTATGGTAAACAAGGTGGGTACATAAATCATGGGTTTATAATCAAAGAATACTATCTCTATTGCTTTAATTACTAGAGCTTATGTTCAGAGTGGACAATATCATACCAGTGTGGAGAGTCCTATTCGTCTAACACTTGTGAGTTTGTTTTTAGTGATGAGTATGAATATAACGGCTCTAATGCGAGTATTATGTAGATGGGTTTCTTTGCTGAAGCTGGACCCATTCAGATTTTTGTTTCTAATCATGTAAGGATGTTTCTTCAAATCACCAAATATCTTGCTTTTTTTCTTAGTAATTTCATGAAATCTATGAATTTAATCTTAATATGTGTGCTTGTGGTGTTTAGATAGAGTTTCTTGTAGCTATTGAACTTTTTGTACCTCGTTGTGTAATGTGTATTTAGTAATTAATGTCCTGAAAATGGGTCATGATCGAATATAATGGAGATAGTCATGATCGAATATAATGGAGACAGCCTCGTTAGAATAGTAGACTTTTCCATGTAACAAGGGTCGGACAAAAGAGGGAAATGAAAAGGAATTTTATGTCCCTAAGTGAGTTTGGTAGTGCTTGTATTGCCATAGATTTTGTCTTCAAGTTTGGATGTCATCGATATCCTTATAAATGGTTCTTGTTGGAGAGTCATAGCTTATCTCAATTGAGAGTCCTGCCACATAAGATTAGGGTAGGATCGAAGTAAAGGAGAAATTGTCTCGAAAAAGGCAAAGTAAGAGCATGCTACTGAAGATATTGATCATAGTGAAGTGTTTGAGCGAGCTAATACCTTTTCTTACTCAACTTTCTTGTGTCATGTTGAATTACACATCATTAAGGGTGTATGTTCAATCAACTCATCTAATATCTTCTATTTCAGTTGATTCCAGATGATATGGAATTTCAATCCGGAGATATCCCAAACTATACCACTTCAGATGGATCAGTATATTTCTTAAACATAAAAAACTAATGCTCTCTTATTACGTTAAATTTGCTTATAAATTACTTAAGTTTTCTTATAGGTTAAGATCCAAAAAGATAGCGAAGTTCGATTAAAGATAATCGGGACTCGAGTAGATGCTACTGAAATTGTACGCCAATCACGACCATGATTTCAAGTTTCTTTACCTATTCTTTTAAGTTTTTGGTTGAACCATACGATTTAACAAGCTAAGAGCTTACTGAATCGAGTCGAGCTTATGCTTACTTTGTTGTGTCATTTATTAACACTATTGGGTTGGTTTGCAGTTTTGTGTTGGAACCATCAAAGATGATTTCATGGGTGTCATAAATGATCCTTCGTCGGCTTAGCTGCAATCTTGTTCAACAAATTCCTCCTCGCAATGGAGGGTGGTACTATCCTTTAGCTAATTACTTTGTTCGTGTTATTCGGAATTATAATGAGTTTTGACTAAAAGTTTTCGTAAATTTTTGTTGATCCTACATAGTTTCAAGTTCACTCTCATTTCAGCCATACTCTGTGCTTGAGCGTCATAATCTCAAGTATGTTTATAGTAACATATAAATACAACTTATTTGATTAGAGTATAACTAGATCTTGAGTGATATAAAATTGTGTTATTACATAGTTCAGTCGACTCGAAGTTGAGAAATGAAGGTAGCACAAAGATTTAAGAATAGAAACTCGGGGCCTTGGATCTTTTGTAGATCAACCACGTACTTTTCCTCAGGCATTTTATATAGCTGTGCAATAACAAAGGAAGAAATTAATATCAAGTTACCATCATGTTTTGATATCATACAAATCAAATTATCAATAATAAAGTATTCTCACGTTGGGTTACGAACATGATCATAGTATATGATACGAACAATGAACCTCTACATGAATATGATATTGTTCACCTCAAGCTCCCATTACTTTTCTTTTAGTTTTCTCAAAATATCTCATACTAATAGTTTTAGATTGGATCGAAATAAAATTTTCGGGATAGTGTTCCTTATTTATATACTTGGGGTCTTTCCTTTAGTTAACTAATGCGGGACTCCAACGTTATATAGAACCATTGAACCGACCCAATTAACTGTTGATTCTAATAATAGAAGTTTGAAGTCTTACTGCCGAAGAGAAGGGGGAGATAGAAGTTTGCGAAGCTAATAATAGAAGTTTGAAGTCTTACTGCCGAAGAGAAGGAGGAGATAGAAGTTTGAAGTCTTACTGCCGAAGAGAAGGAGGAGATAGAAGTTTGAAGTCTTACTGCCGAAGAGAAGGAGGAGATAGAAGTTTGAAGTCTTACTGCCGAAGAGAAGGAGTAGAAGTTTGAAGTGATACTGCCGAAGAGAAGGAGAAGGAGGAGATAGAAGTTTGAAGTGTTACTGCCGAAGAGAAGGAGGAGATAGAAGTTTGAAGTGTTACTGCCGAAGAGAAGGAGGAGATAGAAGTTTGAAGTCTTACTGCGAAGGAGAAGGAGGAGATAGAAGTTTGAAGTCTTACTGCGAAGGAGAAGGAGGAGATAGAAGTTTGAAGTCTTACTGCGAAGCTAATAATAGAAGTTTGAAGTGTTACTGCCGAAGAGAAGGAGGAGATAGAAGTTTGAAGTCTTACTGCGAAGCTAATAATAGAAGTTTGAAGTGTTACTGCCGAAGAGAAGGAGGAGATAGAAGTTTGAAGTCTTACTGCCGAAGAGGAGGAGTAGAAGTTTGAAGTGTTACTGCCGAAGAGAAGGAGAAGGAGGAGATAGAAGTTTGCTGCCGAAGAGAAGGAGAAGGAGGAGATAGAAGTTTGAAGTATTGCTGCCGAAGAGAAGGAGAAGGAGGAGATAGAAGTTTGAAGTATTGCTGCCGAAGAGAAGGAGAAGGAGGAGATAGAAGTTTGAAGTGTTACTGACGAAGAGAAGGAGAAGGAGGAGATAGAAGTTTGAAGTGTTACTGACGAAGAGAAGGAGGAGGTGAATTCAATTTTATCTACAAAAATCTCAACCAACTCCAGGAATCCCCTCTATATGAATTCAATTTCATCCACAAAAATCTCAACCAACTCCAGGAATCCACAAAAATCTCAACCAACTCTAGTAATCCCTTCTATATGAATTCAATTTCATCCACAAAAATCTCAACCAACCCCAGGAATCCCCTCTATATGAATTCAATTTCATCCACAAAAATCTCAACCAACTCCAGGAATCCACAAAAATCTCAACCAACTCTAGTAATCCCTTCTATATGAATTCAATTTCATCCACACAAATCTCAACCAACCCCTGGAATCCACAAAAATCTCAACCAACTCCAGGAATACCCTCTATATGAATTCAATTTCATCCACAAAAATCAACCAACTCCAGGAATCCACAAAAATCAACCAACTCCAGGAATCCACAAAAATCAACCAACTCCAGGAATCCACAAAAATCAACCAACTCCAGGAATCCCCTCTATATGAATTCAATTTCATCCACACAAATCTCAACCAACCCCAGGAATCCACAAAAATCTCAACCAACTCCAGGAATCCCCTATAAAAGGACCTCCCTTCCCATCATTCAAATCACTCCTCTCAATCTCACTTCAGTTTTCTGTTGTCACCAACGACCGGTATCAGAGCAATCTTGCAGCGGACCTCCCTCCCCATCATTCAAATCACTCCTCTCAATCTCACTTCAGTTTTCTGTTGTCACCAACAACTGGTATCAGAGCAATCTTGCAGCAGTAAAAAATGGCAACAGAAAATCAAGTTGAGAACTACGTTCAGCCCGCCATCTCGAGGTTCGATGGTCACTATGATCATTGGACGATGTTGATGGAAAATTTTCTCAGATCAAAGGAGTTCTTTGATATGGTGGAAACGGGTTATGAAGAGCCAAATGAAGGCGAGAGTATCAAAGGAGGAAGTATCAAGGCTCAACGAGAGTAAAACGTGCTCAACTACAGGCAGTTCGGAGAGACTTTGAAATTCTCCAAATGCAAAAGGGAGAAACGGTAAATGATTATATTGGCAAGGTTATAAGTCTTGCAAGTAAAATGAGGATGCATGGTGGTTCAATCACAGATGTTGCGGTCGTAGAAAAGATTTTGCGATCACTAACTCCAAAATTTGATTACATTGTATGTTCTATCGAAGAAGCAAACAATGTCGAAGAGATGCAAATAGATGAACTCCAAAGCTCCCTGTTAGTACATGAGCAGAGGCTCAATCGTACAAGTGCAATAGAGGAGATGACAACCTTAAAGATATCCACACCAAGTGAAACTTCAAGCTCTAGAGGTAGATGGCAAAGAAGAGGCAGAGGTCATGAGAGAGACAGTCGAGAAAGAAGTGGAGATGTTGGCAGGTCAGCAAACCTAGTCAAAAACGATTATGACAACAAAGGCAAGAGACACTTTGACAAGTCTAAGGTGGAATGTTACAGATGTGGACGCCTTGGACATTACAAAAATGAATGCTATACCAGGCTCCAAAAGGAGAAAAGAGATCAATCCAATTTTGTGGAGAGAAGAGAAGAAGAAACATTATTAATGTCATTCCATGCTATGAAGGTTGCAGATCAAGGTGTATGGGTCGTAGACTCTGGATGCAGCAATCATATGACAGGTTGTAAGAAATTCTTCTCAACTCTAGATGAAAATTTTTATACTACGGTTTCTCTTGGCAACAATTCAACTCTCCAAGTGATGGGGAAAGGAACCATAGATATCAAGACTAGAAATGCTTTGTAGAGTCTATTTCTAATGTATTCTACATTCTTGATCTGAAGGCCAACTTACTTAGTATCGGTCAGTTACAAGAAAAGGGGTATGTGATCACATTCCAAAATGATGAATGTGAAATTTATGACTCCAAAAGAGGATCGATTGCTAAGATGAAGATGACCACCAACCGTCTATATCCGTTGACGTTAAATATCGTTGCCAAAAGTTTGATGGTGAAGAAAGAAGATACCACTTGGCTTTGACATTTTAGGTATGGTCATCTACACTTCAAAGGATTAAAGACGTTGTCCTAAAAAAAGATGGTAACTGGGTTGCCAGATATTACTCCACCAACAGAAATTTGCGAGAGCTGTGTAGTAGCAAAACATGAAAGAAACTCTTTTCCATCCGAAAAATCAAGAAGAGCTCAAGCAATTTTGGAGTTGATTCATTCGGACATATGTGGTCCCATCTCTCTAGCATCAAATGGTAACAAGAAATATTTCATGACCCTCATCGATGATTTTAGTCGAAAAACATGGACTTATTTCTTGCACACCAAATCAGAAGCCTTTGATTGCTTCAAAAAATTTTGTGCTACTATGAAGACGGAAACTGGAAGAGGAGTCAAGGCTTTAAGAACTGACAGAGGTGGAGAATTCTGCTCGAAAGAGTTTATTCAATTTTGTGAAGAGAAGGACATACGTAGGCAGCTAACAACAGCATATACACCACAACAAAATGGTGTGGCCGAAAGGAAAAATAGGACCATTCTCAACATGGTTCGAAGTTAACTAAATAAAGAAGAAGTCCCGAAGGAATTCTGGCCAGAAGCTATTGTGTGGTCCGTTCACATTCTCAACCGGAGCCCTACTTTTTCTGTTAGAGATATGACTCCACAAGAAGTATGGAGTGGAAGAAAACCTGCAGTAGACCACTTTAGAATCTTTGGGTGCATAGCATATGCACACGTTCCTGATGAGAAAAGGAAGAAACTTGAGGACAAGAGTTTGAAGTGTGTGTTCCTTGGAGTAAGCGAGACCTCTAAGGCGTACAAGCTCTACAATCCTTTGACAATGAAGGTGGTGGTAAGTCGTGATGTAGTCTTTGACGAAAAGAAGACTGGGACATGGGAAGAAAAGATCACTGTGAATCAAAAGATTCCTGTAGATCTTGGAGAAGAACAAACTGAAGCCCCTATTCAGCCTCACTATGAGCATGGAGAGAGCTCATCACAAGCTCAACAAGAAGAACCAGTAGAAGAAGATCATGATCATAATCAAAGACATCCAAGAACAAGAAAGAGACCAAACTGGATGATTGATTATGAGATGGACTATGAATCAAGTGATAGTGGTTATTTTGCATTCTTTATGGATAGTGATCCAATTGTCTATGAAGAAGCAGGAAAGGAGAAGAAATGGAAGGAAGCTATGGACAGTGAAATCAAATCCATAGAGAAGAACAAGACTTGGGAGCTCACTGATCTTCCTAGAGGGCAGAAAACAATCGGAGTAAAATGGGTTTTCAAAACCAAGTTGAATGAAAACGGTGAGGTGGATAAGTACAAGGCGCGACTTGTTGCAAAAGGATACAAGCAAAAGTATGGAATTGATTATAAGGAGGTATTTGCACCAGTGGCACGTCAAGACACTATCAGGCTCATAATTTCTATTGCAGCACAGAAATCTTGGCCTATTTATCAACTTGATGTGAAATCGGCCTTCTTACATGGAGAGCTTCAAGAAGAAGTATATGTGGAGCAACCAGAAGGTTTTGTTCAAAAAGGCAAAGAGGAACAAGTATACAAGTTGAAGAAAGCTTTGTACGGTTTGAAGCAAGCTCCGAGGGCATGGTACAGTCGCATTGATTCTCATTTTGAAAAGATGGGATTCACTAAATGCCCGTATGAACATACGTTGTATGTGAAAACTGAAAAGGGAGGTAACATTATCATTATTTGCTTATACGTTGATGATTTAATATTTACTGACAATAATGAAGAAATGTTTGAATTTTTTAAGAAGAGCATGATGAAGGAATTTAAAATGACAGATCTTGGCTTGATGAGATATTTTCTTGGAGTAGAAGTTACTCAAACTCCCGCAGGTAACTTTATCTGTCAGAAGAAGTATGCTCAAGAATTACTTGAAAGATTTAAATTGGATGAGCGCATATTTGGAGCTCCATCAGAATTGGGTTTAAAGTTGCACAAGGATATTGACGAGCAAGAGGTGGATAATAGGTACTTCAAACAAATTGTGGGAAGTTTGATGTACCTAACTTCAACAAGACATCATGTATGTGGTTAGTATGATAAGTCGTTACATGGAGCATCCAACGGAAAAACATCTCAATGCAGCAAGAAGGATACTTCGTTATGTGAGAGGAACCTTTGATTTGGGGGTATTCTACAAGAAAGGAGATGATCCGGAGAGGATTGGCTATACAGATAGCGACTATGCAGGTGATATAGACGATCGTAAAAGTACTTCAGGAAGTATTTTCATGATGAGTTCAGGAGCTATTTGCTGGTCTTCAAAGAAGCAACCTATTGTAACACTCTCAACTACAGAAGCAGAATTTGTGGCAGCAGCAGCATGCTCGTGCCAAGCAATTTGGTTAAGAAAAATGCTTGAAATTCTTAATCAGAAGCTACCAGGTACGATAGTTATATATTGTGATAATATGTCAACTATTAAGTTGTCTAAAAATCCTGTGTTGCATGGAAGGAGCAAGCACATCGATGTTCGATTTCATTTCTTGCGTGATTTGTGTAAAGAAGGCATTATTGAACTCAATTTTTGCCGAAGTGATGAACAAATCGCAGACCTACTCACAAAGCCCTTGAAACAACCATTGTTCGAGAAGCTTAGAAGAAAGATGGGGATGTGCAGAATCCAAGATGTATATCAAGAAGATGAAGTGAAGTCCTCAACTGATTTCCGCATAATTCAGTTTAAGAGAGGGTGTTGAAGCTAATAATAGAAGTTTGAATTAGTTACTACGGAAGAGAAGGAGGGGTGAATTCAATTTCATCCACAAAAATCTCAACCAACTCCGGGAATCCTCCGACCTCCCTCCCCATCATTCAAATCACTCCTCCTCTCAATCTCACTTCAGTTTTCTATTGTCACCAACACTAACAACTAGAGTTGCATGCATTATATGAACAGAAAGCAACGACTAGGATCATGCAATACCAAGGCTAGCCCATGAAAATAGACGCTTTATAACGATTTGAAAAATGAGTATGAAATTAAGGCATACCTGGAGTTCGAACTTGACCACATTCTGTAGTATGGTGACATTATTGAGCTCCAAAAGTATTGAATGTTTGTTGAATGCAAAATTAGCAGGCAGTGGTTGGTGATGAGTTGGAGTATCAGTTGTTAGCTTACATTTCATACTGTAATCACCAATCTTCTTCCAACACACATTCAGTTCTTGCAGCACTTTAAGCACCTTTATCATTATATCGCGTGGGTTTGCTTTAGCCTACCAAATACACACCACCAAAAACCATCGACTCTAATACTATTTATAACAATTCAAGTTCACTACTAGCAAATATTATCTGTTTTGGTCTATTACGTAGTAGTTTCTCTCTCCAACCGATGTGAGATATCACAGTTTTAGTTACCATTAGATTGTTTTAAGTAATAATCTATTGAATTTCTACCTAAAAACTAATTTTGAAACGTTTATAAAAAGATAAACAAACCTGTAATCCAAGAGCCCACTTCCCATCAGCGGGAATCTGAGGAGTGATGCCCACAACTTCATCATTCCTACGTTCGAAAGAAGGCAGTGTGGCAGCAAGTGGACGCGTATGGTTCGGTTCCTAAACATAACATTTGTTTGAGGTTGGTGACTATTATGTCAAAGTTTATGAACTCAAAGCTAATGAACTTACCATTGATTCTTGAGCCTCGGCACCAAGATAGCCATCAGAGATAGGGAACCGATCGCCCAGCAGCAAATAGTAGGAGACAGTTCCCTAAAACAAAGTGGAAATAATAACATATTTACTATAATAGATATTAAGCTTAATCATTTAGTTAAGAAAAAACCTCATTTGGAGTTCTATTTTGAATAGATTGAATCAGTGTGTTCCTGTCAAACCCCATCAGAACCACTCTTTGGAGAACATCCTCATCGATCTGCAAAACCATACGAACATAAAACTAAGTCAACGGTTAAGAATGAGATGCTCTGATACCATGTTTAGTGAACTGGAACTTTTGATCCCACCTATATTTCTCGGACTTTCAATCCCACTTTTATTTCTCGTTCTTAACACCAACCCATGAATTTATGATGAAAATGTGACTCCAAACATGTTCGACTAAGAATGTCTTTTTGGTTCATGTATATGAATGGTAGGTGTGCATGTGCTTATTTGCTTGGTGTCTTTTGGAGGTGTCTCTTGGATATTATACAAGGGATCTTTTCCCTCATTTGTTTCGAAGCCAATTTAAGTCCATTGATTCACGAGAATATGTGTTATCGATTTTGTATGTTGTACTATTAGTGTTGTATGATGTCTGAATCTCCATATGCCACGTTATGTAAATTATGTTAATATGTTTGTTATATGCCTGTGAGACATATAAGAAAGTCATGTATGTCAATCATGAAAAATATGTCAAATATTATGTATGTATGCCGGGTAGGAACACTATGTCATGAAAAGAATGGAGGTATGACTTGCATCATAAATACATGTCATGATTTAAAGTTATGGGGACTTCATGTATTTTGTATGTCACGTGCATAGGGGGACTTCCCTCTTATGATTCGTACGAACACGTATATTACAGTGTCTATGTATGCCATGATATTATGCAGGCTCCTTTCCCTTCCTGACTTCAACACTCATTCTAACATGAGTAAGTGAGTTCAAAATGAATGATGAGAATCAACCTAAGGACGTGAGATCGAGGAATCCATGATTCTAATTTTCAGCGAGTACTGCAGACAAGACAAGAATGAGGTCGTTGGGCTCCTTCCACACAAGATGACTAGGACGATCTTGACTAACTACTTATGAGGAATACGGATATCCAAACTTGCCTCTATACGACATAAAAACATGACGGCTCTTATACCATATAAGAATCTCTGGTCAACACGACTGAGCCACATTCAGTCTACTAACAAATCACTACCACATAACCCCAACATAAATGCTACCAGTAATTCAAATTATGTACCCAACAAGTTTCATCAACTTTTAACAAGAACAAATGGGTATGCATTTTGAATGCCATGAGCTTTCGAAAGTAAATCACTAACCTTTTCAAATTGTTGGATGATAGCCGTTGGTTTCACTGCTAAATAGCGAGGAAGATGAGCTTGAAACCATGGATGCTGACGAATTTGAGGAATAGTTATTCGTTTCAATGGATCAACTACAAGTATCCTTGATATCAAGTTTCTTGCGGCCGGTGATATGAAATTCGGAATCCTATAAACTCCGTTCTAAAGTTCATACAAAATAATATTTAGTTCAAAAGTTGGGAGACTAAAATGAAACAAACTCAAAAGTTTAACATCCGAGGTCGGTCAGTTGGGGAGGAGAACTAAATACCCTTTATAAGGGGTGTGGAAACCTGATAGGGAAAGACCAAAAAAGACAATATCTACTAGCGGTGGGCTTAATTTGTTATCCATGGTATCAAAGCCAGGCATCAGGTGATGTGCTAGCGAGGAGGCTGAGTCTTAAAAGGGGTGGATACGAGGCGGTGTGTCAGCAAGGGTGCTGGGCCCAAATGGGAGTGGTTTGGGAGATGCCACATCGATTGGAGAAGGGAACGAGTACTAGCGAGGACGTTGGGCCTCAAAGGGAGTGGATTGTAAGATTCCACATCAGTTGGGGAGGATAACGAAATACTCTTTATAAGGGTGTGGAAACCTCTTCCTAACCTTGAGGGGAAGCCTGAAAGAAGACAATATCTGCTAACGGTAGTTACCTTTATTTTTTGATAAAGAAGGGCGATGTTTTCGCTCTCGAATGGAAGATACCCACATAAGAGTGCATACAATATAACCCCACAGCTCCATATGTCTACTTCAGGGCCAGCATAGAGTTTACCAGAAATAACCTGTGGATTCAAAATTAGGGTGGTTTGAAGACTAGTTTTGGTTAGGTGTTGGTAAGAAGTTGTACCTCAGGAGCAGCATAGTTAGGACTCCCACAGCTTGTTTTCAGGAAATGCCCATCACACATCACATTGCTAAAACCAAAATCTGCTATCTTTACATTCAAATTGGTATCCAAAAGCACATTCTCAGCCTTAAGATCCCTGTGGACTATCATGTTTCTGTGGCAGTACTCAACTCCTGATATTACCTGTCTCAATATCATTTCATATCACTTTTCTTGAATCTTCAATATCAGATGATGAAAGCTTAGTAAGCCTAGTATGATTCTAGTATGATTCTCGAATAGATCATTAACTTTTAACTTTGTGTCTTCGATTTTTGTTTCTAAATATTTAAGAAGTTCATGAACTGTATTAGATATAAAATTGAATTTTATGTCTAATTGAACTTTAATGGCTCGTTTGATCACGTTTATGAGAATATTTGTTAAAATCACCACACCTAAATGGCGGTAAAAGTTCTCTATTTATAATCATTTACCGAATCAAATAAATTGCAAAGAAAATGGGAGGAGCAATAAAATTGGATACAAGATATTTGTCTATAATAAAAGGTCAATTATGACACCTATGTTAAATCGTAATGGGAGGTTAAATGTCATACAAGATATTTACCTTATAATAAATAGTCAGATATGATACCTATGGTAAACCGTAATTGAAGTCTAAATATCATACAAGATATTTGCGTATAATAAATGGTCAGATATGATACTTATGATAAATCGTAATCGAAGTCTAAATATCATATAAGATATTTGCCTTAACAAATGGTCAGATATGATACCTATAGTAAACCGTAATTGAAGTCTAAATATCATACAAGATATTTGCGTATAACAAATGGTCAGATATGATACCTATGGTAAACCGTAAGTAAAGTCTAAATATGCTCAATCATACAAGATATTTGTATGTAGTAAAGGGTCAAATATGATACATTCAGGACTAAATATTCTCAAATAGTTCTGGTTTCGTGCTTAGTAGTTTCTCAAATTTTGCCTTTTTTTAGAAACGAGAAACAAGATGAGTTATCGAACATGTTTGCTTCTAACAAACGGAGAAACAAAAAACAAGAAACGGGAAATTGGAACGTTATCAAACGAGTAGTCGGTGAGTGAACGAAACGTCCTAAACATGATGGAAGTAGAGGATATATATGGTACCTGTTGGAAGAGTCTACGAGCTTCATCTTCCTTCAACCTGTCATTCTCCGCAATATAATAAAAAAGTTCTCCAAACTTGACATACTCCATCACTACACAGGTAGCAGTTGGTGTCTCTATAACCTCATAGAGTTGTACTATGTGAGGATGCATAAACAACTTCATTATTTGTAGCTCTCTTCTTACTGCATTCATTTTAAAATCACAAACCTTTTTCATAAGTTTCAACTATGTCTCTATCTATAATACTTTAAGCTTTCATTTTAACAGGTTTATTTAAGGTAGTTCGAAGCCCACCTCGCCCACAACCGCCCAAAAAGGGAACTAGAGCGATTAAATTAAGATGAAGTACTCTTCGATTAGTTAGCTTCTCTTTTAAACATTTTTAGCGGTTTGTATGTGATTGATAATAAATTATCGTGTGTTATGCATACTTGAAGTTGATATGTTGGGATTTTTGTACATATGTTAATTTGAGATGTGACAATTTGTATCCACCGCTAGCAGATATTATCCTCTTTGGACTTTCCCTTTCGGACTTCCCCTCAACGCTTTAAAACGCATCTGGTAGGGGAAGGTTTCCACTCCCTTATAAATGGTGGTTTGTTCTCCTCCCCAACAACGTGGGACATCACATATATTTTTTTTTAAGGATCTTAGGAACTAAATTTTATGATGTCGGGAAGAGTAAAGTTCGGTCAATGGTCAATGTCTAAGGGGCATTTTGGTCATTTTTAGCTTGTCTCGAGCTAGATGTTTAATTTGGAAATTAAAAGAAGGGAAGAAAATAAAGAAGAAAAAGGAAAAAGAAGAAGTGGCTTAGGGCTTTGTAGAGAAAAAGTTTGAACAATGAATTTGAGGTTTTTTTTTTTTTTTTTTTTTTTTTTTT